ATAAAATAAAATAAAATAACACGCACTCGAGCCGCCCGCTTAATCTGCTAATTAACCGTTAACACCTAAGAATTGCAGTTGGTCTGCAAATCACGTGAGGATGTCAGAGGAACTGTCCCTTCCTCCTTCCTCTTAAGGCTACGCCACGCACTAGCTAAACAAGGTTAGTAATTTCCAATTTTGCTTTGCTAATTGTCACCAACCTGTACCATCCACCATCCCAACTTTCCATTTTGTCCTCTTCTTGGTGTTTCTAGAGAACACGGTTTTTATTTCTATTATTTCTGTACACCCATAAAGTTTTTTTTATCATTTGTGTAACGTTTAATGACGCCAGAGATTTTATGCTCCAATCTTAATTTCTGGGTTTGCTTCAAGTTGTGATTTTTTTTACTTGCTCCTTGGTTTTATCTTGTGCACTTTGGCATGACTGGATTGGCCTTTCAGGAGGGAGAGTTTCTGGGGACTGTCTGGTTCTGCATTCTTTGGCTCTTGTGTGTTTCAGAGCTTTAAAAGGGCTAAAAGTTTCAAGTTAAATTTCTGCTAGTGGGTTCAATTAGTGAATCTTGAAGAAGGGTCTGAACCATTTACCTCTCTCTAGTGGAATTCATGGCATCAGTCTCGATTTTCAGTGTTTCGCTCCATGGGGTAAATTTAGAGGATAGGCCTCGTTTCCGAGTGAGAGCTCAGGGGCTAGGAGGCAAGGATTTGAAAATGGTGTCTTCTGATCAAGTTGTATCGAATGAAACAACTCCTTTAGTTGAAGAGAGAGAAAAAAGTGCATCCTTGAGTGACGGCGGGAATGGAAGGTTGAAGGCCAGTGTTGAGAAAAAGATGGTCAAAGATTTGGTTTCTGAACATATGAAAGTCTTGTGGGATGATGGTTATGGGACCAATACTGTGAAAGATTTCCTTAATGTATCCAGCGAAATGATAAAGCCTGATGGTGGACCGCCACGTTGGTTTTGCCCTGTTGAGTGTGGGCGTCCAGTCAAGGATTCTCCTGTTCTTCTATTTTTGCCTGGTAATTTAAGGGTTGATAGGTTTTTTATTTTTGAATTTTGTTATATCTTTTCTGAGGGATAAATAGTGTTTGTTAAATTATGGTAAATTTCTTGCTTTGAACAGGAGATTTTATGCTTGATTGTTTGAATATAATCTTTTGAGGTTCAATCTGTTACAAAGTAGTTGTTTGTTTTTGAGATTTTAGAACTACAAAATGGTACCCTCATTCTTTTGGCACTGATGATGCAGGGCTTGATGGTGTTGGGATGGGGCTATTGTTACATCATAAAGCTCTTGGGAAGTAAGTTTCATACTCTTTTTCTCAAATTGTTCTAATATAACTATAGGTATCTGATATGTATTTGTGCATGTAGAGACAACTGTGTGGCGCACTAATCATCAAACTTTGAAAATATGAGTCAGCTATATTGAAGTAAAAACTGAAATTGAAAACAAAAAAGGTTTGTCATTTGAAGGAGAATTAAGACAAGGGCAGCGGGGATATTGGCAGTTTAGAGAGGAAATAAAAAATGCAGGGTACACAAAGGTGAAACGTTTAAAAGTAGTAATATATATATATATATATATATATATATATTTGTTTCATTTGGCCATGATCTGACATGTGTCATATGTGCATCTATGTTTGCAATTTTTAGTCTTTATGTCTTTGTTGTTAAAACCAGGTAATGATTTCAGCCATAGATTTTTAGCTATATTAATCTTGTTTTACATTACAAGCAAGGATTCCTCATGAACAATTTTTTCAAGTGCAGGGTTTTTGAAGTTAGGTGCCTTCATATTCCCATTTATGATCGGACACCATTTGAAGGTTTTCACCCTCCAAAGCCTATGGTTTCTGTTTTTTATGCCTTGAGTTTTGCTTAGAAGTTCACGAACACTGCCTAGACATTAAAAGATGATTTTCGATTAGCATAATTTGTCAAACATGTTTCTGCTGTTGCTTCTTTCATTTATTCCTTGCATCTGTCAGCTCATTTTTGAATGCTTTATCATCAAATTGTTCATAGTATCTTCATGCATTTACGTAATTTATAACCACATTTGAACTCAAATGTTGAAAGCTTAATGACTTTGAAAAACTGTTTAGGGGGGCAGAATAAGTAAAAGAAGCCACATGATTAGCTTTACTTGAGCCTTTTTCTGAGGTTTCTAGATCTCCTGTGTATGAAATATCCTATTTTCTTCAATGGATAATTGGAAAGCATAGTGTAGTAATGAAATTGCAGTCTATCTTTCATTGTGAAACTGTTCCTTTTTCCTGATATTGGATACATATGTTGGGAAACATGTTTTTGTCCCTTTTTAGTTTGTATGTCTTTAGAGCATGCATGTTTTTGTTCTTGTTGTGTCAGTAAGGTCACATCCTTTATTAACAGTTTAATTTTGCTTTGTTGAATGAAGAACTGGTGGCGTTTGTTGAAGAAACTGTGAGGCTTGAGAATGCCTTGTGCCCAAACAAGCCAATCTATTTGGTGGGTGATTCTTTTGGGGGTTGCTTAGCACTTGCAGTTGCTGCTCGTAATCCCAAGATTGACCTTGTAGTGATATTAGTAAATCCAGGTCATTATTCATATTTCCAGTTTTGCCATTTCTTTTTTTTTTTTGTGTGTTTTCTTTTCATATTCTTAATTTTTATTGGTCATTGAACCTGATTAAGGTACTCCAAGTTAATACTGATACATTTTAGCATTTCATTTTAGCTACATCATATGGCAGGTCACAGCTGCAACCCTTGATTCCTTTCTTGGAAGCTTTGCCAGATGGGCTGCATAACACTGTTCCCTATCTTCTGAGCCTTGTTATTGGTACATGATTTTTGTGGCGCGCTTTATAAAACTGTTTTTTTTTTTTTTTGGTACATATAAAACTGTTGTCACTGCTGTTATGATATGTGAATCCTACAAGCCCAGCTTTGTTTCCTAGTTCATTTCTTGATTGGCCAAAAGAAAAAAAGAGAAAATTTAGTTTCCTAGTTGACAATATAGTGTGATAAATAAAAAGTATCTTATTGTGATTTTCTTCTCTGTGACTGCAACAGGTTGTCTTCCTAAAATTTTGAACTTGGATTTTCTTTCCTAGTTTCTTTATTTGTTTATTTATTTTATTTTTAGCCATCTTTCAAACCAAATATGCCATTCTGTGGCAACCTTTTTTTTTGTAATTTCAAATTGCTTAATCCAGTCTGAAAACCCAAGCTTGTTCTGTTAGTTATTATTTTTCATGTGAGCAGGTGATCCAGTGAAACTGGCAACAGTTGGTATTGGGAGTAGGCTTCCTTCTAGACTGAGAATTGAACAATTGTCCAGGAACGTTACAGCTTTGCTTCCTCTTATTTCTGTAAGAACCATTGGTTGTTGTTATTTTGTTTATTTTATTTATTTTTGATGCATTTAGAGTTCCTTTGCATATGGCAAGCTTTATGAAACTCCTCAATGGCCAACAAAAAAATGAAACTCCTCAATAACACTCTTTTGGTGTAATCTCATTTTCTGGTTTCTAAAATTTACTAAGCATTACCATAAGTTGCATGAGAACAAATGAAACCTCTATCATGGATACCATTGTTTGTTTGTTTGTTCTTTTTTTTTTTTTTTTGGTCCATCTAATGAGGGTTATAAAAGATATTGTTCCTCAAACATTGTTCTTTATCTCCGCATCAAGTCATTGTTGTGCTTTGGTCACAAAATTAATAAAAATAATAATTAGTGAACTTATTGAGGAAATATCAACAAGAAAATATCATCAAAATAAGTGTGAAAGGCTTACTTACTTTAAGGCGATTAATGCCTTTGTAGAGGGTAGATCTACAAGTGCAGCAGAAATATACATAGCATATTGCTCCTAGTATGCTATAGCTCTATAATAACACTCTATGGATTTGTACTACCTATAGAGTTGCTAACTCAATTGCCCAAGAATATTTAGAAAATAAAATAGAGTAAGAAAGTAGAAGAATGTGGAGGAAGTTCTTTGTCGAGCAAATTAACATGTGGAATAAGTGGGCAATTAATAGGAAATAATATGCCCTTAAGTTGGACAATTAACCTACAATGGCTAGTTTGACCAAGTCCTTAATTGAGCAATTAATTCAATTTATAAAATATATATTTTTAATTTTGTATTAAAATACCAAAGTTATAAAAAAAGAGGAGATATCCCTTCCCTTTTTCCGAACCTCCCCACCCAACTCAATATTCAAACCTGAGATCTCTAAGCTAGAGTCTCAAGCTCTTAACCATTTGAGCCACCTCCTTGGGACATGGATACCATTGTTAGTTATCTCTTCCTTCCTAATCATGCTTAGTATCTAGATTTAACCTTTGGCTTTTATTAGTCTTTGGATTACATGTTGAATTTGGCTCTTATGTTGAGAATTGTCTGCTGAAGATTTATTAGTCTGAGAACCATGCTGATTTGATCGCAAGTCGTACCTTTTTCATTTTCAGGGTATAGCTGACATTGTTCCAAGGGAGACTCTTGCTTGGAAATTAAAATTGATCAAGTCAGCTGCTGCTTATGCTAATGCCCGTCTTCATGCTGTTAGAGCTGAAGTACTCCTGCTAGTCAGGTCCTTATTCTCTTTGAATTATATCTTCTCTATACTATGTATTTTCAACTTATTCTTCTAACTTCTAACAATCTAATGAATGGAACTCCTATGTATCACAAGGCTCTGTTTTATAAGGGACTAAAGTCAAGGTGTTTGGCAAAGCTTAAAAGTCAAATTCTTTTCTCATAAATTTGAAGTCTTGTTGGAGGAAAATTTAAAAATTCGCTTTTAAAGTGACTTTTAAGCAAGTATTGAAAAAGCTAAATATCCAAGCTTTCTCAAAACTTGCCTAAAAGAACCTTTAAAAGCCAATTTTTGAATTTTCCTCCAACAAAATTTCAAATTTGTGAGAAGAATTTGCTTTTAAAGCAAGTTCTTTTTAAGCTTTGCCAAACACCCTTTGATTGGAAGTCTGGAATTAGTAAAATGTTTGTGCAAGGGTAATTTCAATGATACTGACTTTACTCTTTTTCGCCACAAGCCACTAAAGAATTCATTTAATCATGCCTCTTGACTCAATTAGCAAGTTTGTTATACATCACAAGCTAGTGTGCTCTTCTTCGTTTTCTGATATTATCTTTGATGGGATTTTTCTGTCTTCATTTACAGAGTTGCAATCAAATTTTGCAAGATATGGTCTCATAAATTGGAAAAGTGTTATCTTCTATTTCATTGGTGTTTTTTTGCACATCTGAAAATCATGAATCCCAATAAATTTCATTTACATATTTGCTAGAATATTCCAATTGTCAGTTAATTAATGTTCTAATTCTGATTTAAATTATCTTCATATCTGAGGGATATGGGCTAGAACACTTCTCTGAGTCAGTAAATCTTGAAGGAATGTTATGGTTGATGCTGTGTTTGTATTTCAGTGACAAGGATAACATGCTTCCTAGTCGAGATGAGGCTAAACGTCTGAAGGGTTTACTACATAACTGCACAGTTCGTCACTTCAAGGACAATGGACATATCCTTTTGCTGGTAGGTCAAAATATGAGTCTACCTCTGTAGATCTATTGATGCATGCGTGCATGCTCTTAGATATGATGATAAAAAATTAGGAAACAATCTTTTTCATTTTTATTTCAAATTTAGCCATATCTGTAATCTGTTGCTGGTCAGTGCACGTTAGAGGAAGGCAAACTTCACTAACTACTTTTTTTTTGATGGTACAGGAAGATGGAATTAGTTTGCTTACTATTATTAAAGGTACTAGCAAATACCGCCGTTCAAGGAGGCATGACTTTGTCTCAGATTTCGTGCCTCCTAGTATATCAGAATACAGATATGCTTTTGACCAAGTCGTAGGGTAATTCCACTAAACAATTCATCATGCATATTTGTAATAAGATGATTGTTAGAATGCAATTCGATCTGATGTAAATTCAGTCTTAATCCTTGGATTGAGGTCATCATTGAGTTAATCGTCTGACTCCTGACCATGTTAATGTATTTTCGTACATAGGCATCAAAATCCAACTCCATTAGTTTTATGAATTTTTGTAGCATGCTTCTGGTTTCCCATTTTTCTTCATAATCCATGACACATTACTTCTAAATTCACCCACTTTTAATTGTCTCTTTCCTTTATTTCAAATTTTACTCTTCTTCTAAAAACCCTTAATATAGAGAGTGCTTTCAGCAGAAATTTTAATCAAAATGTTATTTATGTTGGTTTTCAAAATGTGCAATATAAATTATTGATTGTTCATCCTATTTTGTATCACCCCATTCCTTTTTCTTTCATTTTGATCTTCTTACAATTCGTCACTTAAATTAAGCATGCTAAATTAATCCAAACTAAATTAGGTTTAGCTACCAAACTAGTTAAATGGGTCAGTGGTAATCTCTTTTCCCTGGAAGTAAGAGGTTGGTTTTTGCTTGTAATTCTTAACATCAAATCAGCTTGGTTTATACTCATATTTTATACAGTATGATTAACAACCTTTTGTATCCTATAGCAAGTTCCCATGAATTCAAGACTAATTATGATTTAGCAATTACTGAATTTGCAGACTTCTTCGTTTTGCTACTTCTGCGGTCATGTTTTCAACTTTGGAAGATGGCAAGATAGTAAAAGGCCTTGCAGGTGTTCCAAGTGAAGGTCCAGTCTTGTTTGTTGGTTACCATATGTTAATGGGATTAGAGATTTATTCTCTTATTGAAGAATTCTTGAGAGAGAAGAACATTATGGTTCATGGTGTAGCACACCCAATGGTTTTTTTTGGAATGGAAGATGGTTCATCACCTGAATTCTCACTCGCTGATTGGATGAAGATAATGGGTGCAGTACCTGTTTCAGCAAGCCATCTATTCAAATTGCTGTCTGCAAAGTCTCATGTTCTTCTTTATCCTGGTGGTGCACGTGAGGCCCTCCATTACAAGGTATGATAAACTGGTGGTATTCATTACAACCATTTTCATAGGGTATGAAGCTCTCATCTTTTGACGGGGGCTTTTTCTATCTGAAAAATCCATTTAAATCAGCAAGCTTGGCATTTCAGTTTCTTTGACTCATAGAAAGCTGAAAGGTGAATGGACACCATTCTTGTTCCTGCCACCATGCACATGGTAGCGGATCTAGCCTTTGATTATTTATAGAAAAAACTAAAGGTGCTTAGAAACTGTTGCTCTTCCCTATAGATACAGAGGCCCAGGAAAACACAGAAACACCAAGGCATAGAGAACTTCTGTCAGTTGTTAGGGTAGTTTTCACTCCACATCTCTGAGAAGATGACTCTTTTCTTTTGATTGCTACAGTTATTCATGCTAAAATTTTGGTTTCCAAAGTCTAACAGAAGAGTGCTTTTTCTAACTGCAGGGTGAACAATATAAATTATTCTGGCCTAATCGACCTGAATTTGTAAGAATGGCAGCACGGTTTGGGGCCACAATTGTGCCTTTTGGCACTGTAGGAGAAGATGATATAGCAGATGTGAGCTTGTTCACTTCTTGGCATATCAGATTCTGGTCCTCTTTAATATCTTGATTTGCTATCAGTACTTATATCCAAATTTAAAAAAAAAAAAAGAAAGAAGAAAGAAATCATTTAAGACAATTTTCCTTGATATTTTAAGTTTGAATATAATTTTTGCACTTAACACTGAACTAGCTTTTAATGTACCTGGCAGTTGGTTCTTGATTACGATGACTGGATGAAAATCCCTGTGCTTAATGACTATATTAGGGAGAGAATGCAGAAAGTGGAAAAACTAAGGTGATTACTCTCTCCTTCTCTCTTTCTTTTATTTATGTATATTTTTCCGAGAATTCTTATTGAATGAAAATTAAAGGAATGAACTTTATAAATGAAGTGTTGGTTATCCTGATGGAGAGAGTTTGTTCTGATTGTAGGGACGAATCACTTGGAGAAGTTGCCAACCAACAACTTTTTGTACCAGGAATGTTACCAAAGATACCTGGGCGCTTCTACTATCTGTTTGGGAAGCCAATAAAATTGAAGGGGAAGGAAGACTTGCTGAAGGACAAAGAAACAGCAAATCAGTTATACTTGCAGGTGCAGTCAGAAATTGGAGCAAACATTTCCTACCTGTTGAAAAAGAGAGAGGATGATCCATACAGGAACATTGTTGACAGAATAATGTACAGAGCATTTAACGATCCATTGCACCAGGTTCCAGCATTTGATCCTTGAAGTGCTGTACAGTTTTGTACAATCTTAAAGGTATAGGTAAGTCTTCCTGTTCTTGCACCCAATTTCATGTTCAACATGGTATTACAAATTGCTACTAAAATAGTGAAAGAAACAGAAAATTTGTAATTGCAGTCTCTCCACTAGTGTCATGGGTCCATTAGGGTGTGTTGTCATCCAGCATCGGATGTGTACTAACAAGGTCTTGGGTTAATAAGTCAGGCTGCTATCATCCTTCCCTCTCAATGGATCTTTCTGTGTAGTGGAGATCCAGGCTGTGACACTAGCATATTTGGTTGTTTGTTTCCTAGGAAAACAAATATTTTTCGTGGGTATTTGGAGTGGATTCTTGTTTCTTTTGTAGAAACTTGATATCGAATAAAAATAACAGTTGATCGATTTTATTCTGAAGGTTCAGTTTTGTGTGAATTCTATCAAAAGCATTTACTTTCACTATGCTTTTGCAGAATCTCCATGTCTCACCATCAATGTAACTCAATGGGACTACATTCTCTTTATTCTTTACTCTCCCATGGAGAAAGAAATATTCACTTCAAGTAGATAAAGTAGTTCTATTTTCATTATGGTATGTTTGGATAAATATTATTAGTAAATGAAAAAGGAAGGTATGTTTGGATAAGTACTATTAGTAGATGAAAAGGGGAGAAAGGGATGGGAAGAGAAGTGCTAAGCCCATTTAAATAGATAGACGTGGAGGAGGGGAGAGGATAATATTTTTTTAATTAAGTAAATGATTTTAAAAAATAAAATAAAATAAAATATTTTAATTTTATTAATTGAATAAATAATTAAAATAAAATATTTAAATGTATTTATTTTTAGGTTAAAATTCTTTTTTGGTCCCCGAATTATTGTACGGACCCTTGATTTAGTCCTTGAACTAAAAAAATCCCTGATTTGGTTCCTATTGTTTTCCCATTTTACCCCAACTTGGTCCTTCTGTTAAAAGTCGTTCGTTAACTCACAGACATATCAAAAATTTAAAACACGTCAGTTGTACAATTGGCTAAATGATGACATGGTCATACCCAACACAAAAACAAAAGTGGAGCCCATCAAATTACAATTTTGCATCATCTTCTTCCTCCAGCATCTTCTTTCTCGAATCTTCCTTCATTCAGACAATCAATTCAATCAAACAATCAATTCAA